ACTGATTATAAGCTATTCATGGGCATAATGGCAGAAAGAATGAAAAATATTCTAAATAATTGGATATATAAGGATCAGAACGGATTCCTCCCGGGGAGGCAAATTAAAGACAATTTGAGAATTGTGCTAGACACCCTAGAGTATTATGAAGAACACCCGGAAAACAGATGGCCTTAATCTTTGTTGATGCCCAAAAGGCATTCGACAATTTAAATTGGAAATTTATGACCAAACAAATTGAGATAATGAAATTCGGAACAAATTTTGAAATGATGATCAAATCTATCTATGACAATCAAAAGGCGAGTATTTTGGTGAATGGAGATAGGACCAAAACATTTCAAATTAGTAAGGGGGTAAGGCAAGGTTGCCCCCTATCTCCATTATTGTTTATTTTGGCCTTAGAAGTTCTTTTATGGAAAATTAGAATCAATGAGGAAATAAAAGGTCTGAAGATTAGGAAGGAGATGCAAGCATTTGCAGACGATGTAGCCTTGATTCTTGAGGACCCCATAGAATCAGGACCAAAAGTGTTAGAGGAATTAGGCAAATACGGAGAGGTGGCAGGTTTTATATTGAACAAAATTAAAACCAAAGTACTGATTAAGAATACAACTGAGAGCCAGAAAAATGAGATAGAAGAAGTATTAGGACTGCAGGTTGCCAAAAAAATTAAATACCTAGGAATTTGGATTACATCAAGATGTTCGACTTAAAAGAAGACAACTATACCCCCTTAATTAGAAAAATGAAACAAGACCTTGACAGATGGAAGAAAATAAGATTATCACTTTTGGGCAAGATAGCCGCAATTAAGATGAATATTCTTCCCAGAATATTATTCTTATTCCAAAACATACCGGTGAATTTAGATAAAAAGTTTTTTCTAGAATTAGGTAAAATTATCAGAGAATTTATATCAGAGGAGAAGAAACCGAGGTTCTCTATTAAAATTTTAAGGGGCAAAAGAGATATAGGTGGATTTGGACTCCCTGATTGGGAAATATATTACAGGGCAGCTAAGTTAGTCTGGATAAGAGATTGGATTACACTGGGAAACGAGAGGATTTTAACCCTAGAAGGCCACGATTTGCAAAAAGGGTGGCATGCCCACATTTGGGATGTAGAGAAGAAAAGGAAGACATATTTTCATAGACATAAAATTAGAGACTCATTGATACAAACATGGACCCCGATTAGGCAAAGATATTACAAAAAAAATCCCAAGTTGGCTCTCAATGATGGAGGCCCTGATCTACCCCAATAGATGGGGAATGGAGAAAATGGGCAGGTACAAAGATATCTTAGACGAAGGAGGGAATCTTAAATCAAATGATACTTTAAGAGAGCAAGAAATAACTCTAGATTGGTGGACTTATTCACAAATAAAATCTAGATACCAGAAAGACAAAGAACAATACGGCATAGAATTTGGGCCAAATGGATTAGATAAAGTCCTGATGGGAATAGGTAAAAAGATTTTGGCCAAATTATACAATTATTTATTAGATGATGATAAGTCCGAAGATATAACAAAGAATCGAATAAATGCATGGGAGAAAAATATTGGATGAGATGTAAATTTTGGGGAATGGGAGGAGGCATGGAATAGGAACCTTAAATTGACTAGAGCGGCGACATACAAGGAAAACCATTATAAAATGCTCCATAGATGGTATTTAGCCCCGGCCAGACTAGCAAAGATATACCCTAATATACATCCCAATTATTGGAAATGTGGCCACGGTCAAGGCACCTTCTTTCACATGTGGTGGACATGCCCGGAAGCGAAAGGATATTGGAATAAGATCAGGAGATGGTTATATGAAATAATTGGTGAAGATATTGAATTAACGCCAGAGATATTTCTCCTGGGAATAGTAAAGAAGCCATACGGAAAGGAAAAGATTCATTTAATGATTCATATAATTACAGCCTTCAGATTGGCATATGCACAGTATTGGAAAGAGAAAACCCAACCACCAGAAGAGCTTATAATTAGGAAAATACTGGAGTGCGCAGAGATGACTAAATTAACCCATGAATTAAACAATGATGAGAAGTCAGATTATTATATTGAGTGGGAAAGGTGGTATAAGTGGATGCATGATAAAATGAAAGAAAGACCAAAAGGTGTGTTAAATAACGGTAAAAAGTAATTTGAAATATCACCAGAATATTATTTTTGTATAAAGTAAAAACACTGCACATCTGATGTTAATTGAAAATGTTAGTATATTTATGTTTTTTTTTAAAAACTCAGTAAAGTTTTTCCAAAAAAAAAAAAATTATAACATTAAAGAAAAAATGTTTTGCCATTTCAATCTGGTCAGAACTTGAGTTGGCTGCCAGAAGTCATAACTCAGTAATACTTTGGCTCTCTGTAGCAAGTGTCCTAAAAGAATGGAGATTTGCATTTGATATAACAATCTCTGCTGAGGACTGGGAGAATTATTATCAGTGTTTGTTTGCTTCCATGGAACCTGCAGAGAAATTGTCTTTAAGGAGTGATCTAGTAAACCCTATAACTCCCCCCTCACGCCCCCCCCTCTCAGAAAAGGGGATACAATCCATCATTAAAAGCTTAAAGAGCAATAAAGCCCCAGGTGAGGATTTTTTTACCAGCAGAATTATTCAAGAAATTTCCCAATTGATGGGGTCCAGTATTGGCAGGTCTTTTTACACATATAAATAACACCTGCCATATACCAGGCCATATACCAGGAAGATGGCAATATTTGTCCCCATATATTAAAAAGGAAATAAATGGATCCTAGTAATTATAGGCCCATTAGCCTAGTTGACATTGCAGCAAAAATATATGCTAGGTTCCTTTTGAACAGAATTGAAATCTGGGTAGAGGAAAACAATATCCTCACAGAAGAACAAGCAGGTTTTAGACAAAGCTGATCCACTATTGATAACTGCTTTGTCTTGAACCATCTAATTGCCAAATATGCCTATAAGAGGAGAGCCCTGTTTGCTGCTTTTATAGACCTTACAACAGCATTTGATATGGTAAACAGAGAAGTACTAAGGAGTAAACTGACATCTCTTAAAATAGATCCTAGACCGCTGGCTTTGATTAAAGCCAGTGGTGGGATTCAATTTTTTTAACAACAGGTTCTGTGGGCGTGGCTTAGTTGGGGGTGTGGCTTGGCAATCATGTGACTGTGTGGGCGTGGCTAGCTGGCCACTGTGTAGGCGTGGCTAGCTGGTCATGTGACTGTGTAGGCGTGGCTAGCTGGTCATGTGACGGGGAGGGCGTGGCTATGTGCATAGGGACTACTCAGAGGGCTGAAAAAAGTCATTTCTGACTGGTCCTCGCACTTTTGACCGGTCCTCACACTTATGACCATCCTCACATTTATGCCCGTGCAGCATTCTTAACAACCATGTCAGTCATTTCACCACTACTTCTCTTCACCACAGTGACAAGATAGGGCTCAAAACATAAAATGTGAGGACAGTTGTAAATTCAAGGACTGGTCAAAAGTGTGAGGACCGGTCAAAAATAACTTTTTCAGCCCTCTGAGTAGTCCATTTACTACCGGTTCTGTGGGCGTGGCTTGTTTGGTGGGCGTGGTTTGATGGTCATGTGACTGGGTGGGCGTGGCCAACTTGACATCACTCACGTCAAGGGTTAGGGTTAGGGTGCTTGGCCTCTCCTCACCTCAAAGGCCTCAACAAGATACAATTTCCCTGTCTATTTATTTATTTACTACTACTGAACATCCAAAATATACTATTTAATCCTATGTACATATGCCATATGTGTACATACATATTACATAGTAGAGAGTGTATATAGGCACACAAAAGGATACATTATTTACTATATATACTGTATGTGTATGTACACACAGAGAGCTCTTTTAAAACTATACACATTCAACCTCACTTACTACATTTGGAAAAACACACCCAGAATCCACTTTCTGCCACACATTTAACTATAACTTCTATACATTTAGAACATTACACACACCTTCAGATATTCTTCCCTATCTAGCTTGCACATGACTGTTAGAGCCAGGAGAGGTCATGGATTGAGTAAAATGTGGTGAAACTCACTTAACAATGCTCTTGTTTAGCAACGAAAATTTTGTGCTCAATTGTGGTCATAAATCAAGGACTATCTCTGCCTTCCTCCGCATGGCAGCCTTGTCCTAGTAAACTCCTTTTCCTTTCTGGCAATTTTCCTTCTCTGTTGGAGGCACCAAAACAATCTAGACGATATAAGGTTTCCTGCTGGAGCAGGGGGTTGGACTAGATGGCCTCCAAGGTCCCTTCCAGCCCTAGATTGCTATCCTGTTTCAAAGCATCTTCTGAAACCACGTCTAGTGCCATGGTTTGTGGTCCTTCCTTCCTGCCTTTCTCTTCTTTCTTTCTCTTTCTTTCTTTCTTTCTCTCTCTCTCCCTTCCTTCCTTTCTTCCCTCCTTCCTTCCTTCCTTTCTTTTTCTTTCTTTTTCTCTCTTTTCTCTCTCTCTCTTCCTCCCTCCTTTCCTTTCCTCCTTAAATGCCAGCAAAACCCGCTACTTTGCTCCTAAAATGGTCTAGGGCAGAGGTCCCCAATCTTGGCAACTTTTAGACTTGTGGACTTCAACTCCCAGAAATCCTCAGCCAGCAAATCAAAGCAAAGCTGGCTGAGGAATTCTGGGAGTTGAAGTCCACAAATCTTAAAGTTGCCAAGGTTGGAGACCCCTGCCCTAGGAAAACAATCCACGTTGCTAAAACAAACAAACAACCCACATTGCATCTGTTTTAGAGGAGGAGGTTCAATTCATTGCCCATTTGGAAGACTGAAATGAAATGCTCCAAATTGACAGCATTGCTTCTAATGACATTCGGCTCCAGATCAGATTGGGCTTTTTTTTTTTTTTTTGCATAAAGGAGGAACACGGAGCGAATGAAAACAAAAAGCTTCCAGCCTCCGATGCAAAGCAAATTAAAGCCTCTTTCTGTCCTTCTCTCCTCCCTCCCTCTGCTTCCCTTTTACCTTTGTTTAATGCTCTGGAAGTTTTTCTCTCCCAGGCAAGCAGCAGCAGGGGACAGAAGCAGCAGCCACTGACTTGCAGACCACATGGAGCCATTCACGTGTTCTCCGGCAAGCTGCTTTCTCTACCCTGCTCTCTTGCATCCGGAGCCAGTGGGGAATCACGTGGCAGGCCACGTGGATCCCAGGCAGCGGAACTCAGGCTAGGGAAGGGGTGGGCAATTGTGGCTCTTTTACAACCTGTGGCCTTCAAGTCCCAGAATTCCTGAGACAGCCAAGTTGTCTCAGGAATTCTGGAAGTTGAAGTCCACAGGTTGTAAAAGAGCCACAATTGCCTACCCCTGGCTAGGGTAGGCTAGTGCCGCGCAGGTGGGAGGCGGGGCGGGGCGAGGGGCGGGCGAGCCAGCAATTTAATAAACGGTTCGGTGTGCTGCGGGGCCAATAAATTACAAAAAAACACAGAACCGTTTGTTAAATTGCTGGCTCGCCCGCCCCATTTTATTGGCAATAAATAGTAGTGTGGAGGGGCGGGGCAAGGGGCGGGGTGAGCCAGCAATTTAACAAAGGGTTCGGCCGAACCCCCTAGAACCAGCAGAATCCCATCACTGATTAAAGCCCTTTACACAAGTACCTGTTTGAGGGTGTGGTAAGGGGTTAATGGGGCTCTGACAGGATTCACACAAATAAAAGGGTAAGGCAAAGGTGTATCCTGGCCCCATTATTATTTAGTTTATATATCAATGACTTGCCAGGGTTAATGAAGGATCCCATGGTACACATGCCAATGATCCTAAATACTTACTGTAACAGCTTGCTCTATGCTGATGATATGATTTTATTATCATATTCACTAGTAGGATTATGTAGGCTATTAAGAAGATTCAGCTCTTTTTTTTTTGTTGAAAAAGTTTTACAAAAACCAATTTTTCCCCCTTTCCCCCCCATCCCTCCCTAACCCCCCCTAACCCTCCCCTCTTCCCATGACTTCCCCACTGTGAAATTCGTCCACATTATATTATATCATACTTTACCACCCCTCTATTCTCCCCCCTGTGCACTATACATTTCTACATAACAATATGCTATTTTGGCCCCTATATACTATGCATTTCTACACAACATTCAGCTAAAAGCTATCTGATACGTCCTAGTTTGATATTTATTCTGCACATAATCTATCCATTTCTTCCACTCCCATACATAAGTCTCCTGAGTCCGGTCTTTTAAATATGCTGATATCTTCGCCATTTCTGCAAAACTGGCCATCTTCAAAGTCCATTCTTGAATTGTAGGCATATCATCCCTTTTCCAATATTGACCAATCAGTAAGCTAGCTGCTGTCACCATATACAATATCAATTTTGTTTCACCCACTGAAAAGCCCTTAACTATACCCAATAAAAACAATTGAGGAGAAAATTGAATTTTTTTCTTCAAAACATTTTGCATAACCCACCAAATTTTTATCCAAAAGGCCTTTGCTTTCTTGCATGTCCACCATATATGATAATATGTAGCATCTAAGCAATCACATCTCCAGCATTTTGGTTGAACATTAGGATACATGCAAGACAATTTCTTAGGATCTAAATGCCACCTATAAAACATTTTATAAAAATTTTCCCTCAAGTTCTGTGACTGCATAAATTTAACATTCTGAACCCATATTTTTTCCCACATTTCCATCATAACTGGTTCTCCAAAATTTTGTGCCCATTTTATCATACAATCTTTAACCAATTCATTTTCTGAGTCTCTTTCTAACAAAACATTATAAACCCTCTTAATATGCATTGGGCCTTTATCTTTTATCTGTCTAACCAATTCTTCTTCATGCAACATTAAACCAGTTTTTTGATCTTCTCTCCATCTCAGTTGAAGTTGATTATACTGTAACCAAGTTAGATTAATCCCTTCTTCCAACAGTACGTTTAATGAGTTCAATTGCCATCTGCCCCCATTCAAATTCAGCTCTTATTGCCAGAATAACTCCCTAATCATTAGTAAATCTAATTTGAAAATCATGGTGTTTGGAAAACATCATCAGCGACATAGGTGGCAATTAGATGGTGAACTAATTGAACAGGTTAACACCTTTGTATATTTAGGCATAACCTTTTCCAAGACTGGATCTTGGGCTTGCCATCATCAACAGAGTACACTTAGAGCAAAAACCCATTTGAATTTACTGCTTAAACTAAAGAACCATAGTTACTGATAGACTCCCCAAGTTGTGTCTACTAGAGCAAATAAAATTACAATCACAAATCTCCTGGATCACCAAACTAACAAATTTTGTAAGAAGCTGTGGCCTTCCTGTCTCTTGCGTAACAGGAGAACAATTAAAAAAAGAGCTGCCCAAAGAATTAAGGATATAGAAACACAAAATGACATAGCTATCCTTAGTAAGCTGGGTAAATTGAAATGGCTGAGCAAATACAAACGTACTTTTCAAGTAGACAGCTATTTGAAGTTGCAACTGCCAAAACATCTTAGGGAAATATTTACGTGAGCGAGATTCGAACAGCTTGACACAATGGTCAGATATGGGAGATTCCATTCTATACCCTATAATGAGCTTCTCTTCATTTGCGGAGTGGCAGAGGTAGAAGACCCAGCTCACATCCTATTTGATTGTTGTTTGTATAAGGGGGTAAGAAACAGGTACCTTGGTCTATATACCAAATGAATGACCCATTGGGATCCCCATATCAAAACAACTAACTTTATGTGTGGCCAGAACCTGAAAATAACATTTAACACAGCACAGTACTTAAACAAAATGGTTCAGTTGAGATCTGCATACGTGAGACTAATTGGGGTAGATCGTAAGGGTGACACCGAAATATAATTTTATGTCATTTTATTCTATTTTATGTATTTATGTATTAAATTATATTGTATCTTATCCTATAACTATTGTATTTTACCTTACTCTTATTTTAAATTGTTTGTATAGGATTTTATTAACGATATGTGTTTGTGCTTTGATATGGCCTATAGGCTAATCAATAAAGCTATCTAGCACTAGATCATATCCATTGCTCTTTCAATCAGAATTTTCATGAGATTATAATGGAGAGAATATTTCCTTACAGTTTTTTTTGGCTCCCACATATGGAAAACTTTGAATTTCCAGACAGCTTAAGGAGTGCAATTTTGCATGTTAGTTTTAAGGCTTTCTGTACATTGCTATCATAATGGACCTAGTCAAGCTTGAGATGAAGAGAAAAACCACTAGGGGATGAACAATAAAGTTTAGAAGCTCCAAGAGAAGCTAATTCTCCAGAGCTTGCGACTGCAGTGAGTTACATTTTCAAAGTCCATAGTTGGAACAACAACACTTAGTACTGTTATGTGTATTGCAATTTTTTTTGCTTCAAAAGTAATAGCAATGTAGTTATACAATAGGTTTTTAAAAGAACAGTATATATTTGCAGATTTTTGTTTTTGCTTTAGTATGTGAAAATATTATCACACACACCCCCCCCATCCTAGAAGAATGAAATATTTTAGGAAATGTTGGAAACGCAGAATCTCTCTCTCCCTCCCCCTCCCCCCTCTCTCTCCTTCCCTCCCTCCCTCCCTCCCTCCCTCTCTCTCTCTCTCTCTCCCCCATGTGCTCTTTTTGCCCAGGACCTCAAACCATGTGGTCCTGTCCACCATTAAACCATCTTTCAAAGCAGTCTCTATGTTTCCAGTGTCATTCTTCCCACTTGGAACTGAACCCAGATGGACATTTCTTCCATCATATGTGTTACTTCATTGGAAGCTCATGTTCCTTTCCAGGGCAAGGGGGAAGGGGGAAGGATGGTGTTGGTGGCAATATTTGAAAAATTAGTATGTTCAACTAGAGCTGCTTCTTGAACAGCTTTGTGTAAAATTTGAGAGCAGGTTTTTGATTATTTTCTATCCATGTAGAAAAATTTGTTTTAATTATCTATGCAGGATAAAATACTGTTATGCTTCACTAATAAAATATTGTATGAGTCAGTAGTTCTGCTTGGATTTTACATAATAATGATTTTTATATATGCATAAAAATGCCTTCCACACTTTGCCTACATTAAGTAATGCCTTCAGCTACAAAATTTGCAACTGTCCTTGTTGTTTACGTAGATTTGGGGAGTTCAATTCTAAAATTGTCCTTTAGGAAATTAAAGTTGAATGTTGAGAATTATTCTCAAATACATAGGATTGGAATCATTCTTTAATTAAAGAGACAAACACATGATGATAGATGCTATACTGTGGGGAAAATTGAAAGCTTTTTTTATAGCCACATTGTGAATATCATTTCAGAACATTTAGCAAATATTTATGGGGCTCTTCTTATTGATGACTGCTATCTTTTTACTACGATTGCCATAATCTTTTCACTTATCTTCCATTTTCTGCTGTCCAATATTAGCTTTCCATCTAAAGCAAAGCTGCTATTATTATTTATTCTTCTTCTTGACATCTTCACACTGTCTTCATTATTTGCTTGGTTGCACTGGTTAGCTATAAAACTGAGCACCAGTTATAGATGTCTCTGAATGAAGTTCTAATAAATCTCTGTGTCAAATATGTAGGAATGTGATTGCTTTAAGTGTTTACTACAGAGTTGAAAGTGAAGATTTGATAGGTACAGTAAATGGATGGAGTGCAAATGAAGAAATTCTTGAATTGGACTGAACTAAGAATGATTTTAGGCCCATTGGCAAAACCAATATGTGAGTGATTGTCTTAGTAGAGTTGATTGGATTCATCTTGATTGGTACTTTAGAACAGGTAAAGATTAGAGGGAGATATCAGCCTTTTGAGATAGGCCATGTCAAGAAACAGACTGTAAGGATTAGCTTCTCCCCCAATTCCAAGAAAGTACGAACTCTTGAGAACTTTGTATTTCAAAAGGAGCCTTTTATTGAAAGGGATGAAAGCAAATCAAAACTCAAAGCAGGCTCTGGGGTCCCTCAGGGCATGCCGTTAAGGATAAAGGAAATTAGGAACCCCCTCCCTACCGTCCGATGTAGATTCCGACCAATCTGCTGGTTTGAAGATGAATTGTACCAGCCTCTCTGAGAAACAGATAAGAAGATCTTCTCAGGGTCATCTTGCAATCCACTTGTTCTCCCCTCCCCTTT